ACAGATAATTCCTCTTTAACTCCAGCAGTTGTTGGAAAATGACGGCAGGTTGAGGTCGTCCCTTCAAGCAGCTGCAGAGTTATTGTTGTTGTCAGTTTTGTCTTCTTTCTTCTTTATTCCATTGTCTCAGTTATACATCTGACTGTTTTCACCATATTTAGTGTTTTCATTTTAGTGTTTTCATTTTAGTGTTTTTAATGAAACATCTGCCAAACACAAATAAACACTTGTGTAAATGTTGCAGTGTGTGTCTGTAGGCTGTGTTGTCTGTGTAGTTTTAGATCTATGATCACTGTGATTTCAGGCTGCTTCAGCCCTGACAGTCCTCTCCTGCATCACAACAAGAAGGCACACAACACAAGTGGACACTCACAGGTAACGTTTAGGTGTAGTTTCTCTCAAACAGCTGTGTGGAACAGTGTCCACCTTCCTGATCTCTTCTTCTTCAGGATGTTTGTCTCTTAAATGTTTCACATCAGACTCATTTAAATCTTAGACACAGAAAACACACGATGCAGTTTTTAAATGAAGGAAGGAAACACAATCCCATGCAGGGTCCACACTTTGGCCCAGTCTCGTTCCATGTTGTCACATTCATGGATGAAGGCTCTGTGGTCCACTGGAGTCCCACAGCTTTAATCTTGTCCTCACTGACAGATGTCAGTCAGGTTCTGATGTGTGGCTGTATGTTTGGACCACAGTGTGAGGCCTGGTCCCACTGGTCTGTTGACTGAGAGGAGCTGAGGCAGTACTCAGGCCTGGTGAGGCTGGAGAAATGAACCTGTGCTTCCTATAAATGTAACGAAGCAGTTAATTTCTGTTTTCACAGCAGGAATAATCTCTCAGATTAAACTGATGTAGTTTAGTGTTGATGTGTCAGACGCTCCTCCTTTCACCCCTCAGGCAGTAAAAGCTGCTGTGGCTCGCCTCAACAAGGCCGCAGACTACTCCTCTTCCAGTGATGATGAAGAAACAAACAGGTGAAACTCTCATTTCTTGTTTTTATTCTTCGCTGAAACAAACAGAAATCAGGATGGAGTGGTTCAGAAACACACAGAGTAATCTGTTTCACACAGTCGCACAAGAACCCACAACACATCTGCCTTCATCCCTTCATCCTGATTCTGTCATCAGTAAACAAGATGTTTACACAACCAACAACTGAAGCAACTGTTCAAGGGTCAAAGAAAATACATGTTTGTGAGAATCTTTGTCAAATAAAGATGTTCTCGTGTAGACTGACTGTGGTCCTCTGATGATACCAGAAAATACACATGTTTGTTCTCCTAACCCTGTTATTCTTCTTCTGATTGGCTACATTCATTTAATTAATTAACTTGTTAAATCACAGGTCTGCTGTCTGTAATGGTGGAGGGAAACACTTCAGAGGACTGCCCAATGGCATCGTCTTACAGCCTCACCACAATCTG